CTATACTTGTTGAGCAAAGGCCATATTTTGATGTCACCAGATATGGTATTTCTGAATAGTCTTTTTTTTTTTTTTTTTAACTTATAAAGAGTACCTCAGGGATTCAGAGGGATTTTTGAGAAGGGCAACTATAAGTCCTGAATACACCAGTGGAAAGAAATACTGATTCATTAAACAATGTAGTTTAAGACAGAAGACACAGTTAACTATCTGCATTTTCCTTCTAATATTCATAGAACATGAACAAGTATATAATTTCCAGAGATTTTAAATAGCTGCCTATTTAGATCACCAGAAAATGGCCCCATCCCACATAGGATGCAAAACCCAGTGATCCACTATTAAGTGAAACTGTTCCAGAAAGACTGTGAGCCAATTGACCCTGGAAATTTAGTACCCAAGTTGCGTGACTCAAAAATCTGTTCAAAGCGAGGCATGGCTGCAGGCCTTGACTGTTGTACTTTAGTAGCCATAGTAACATGGTCTCTGGAGACCTAATGCTAGTGAATTTTCCTTTATTTCAAGGAATAGTAATAAGAGAAATGTGCATTGGAACTTGTTCTCTCTCTCTTTTTCTTTTTCCCTCCTCCTTATTTTTACTATGCCATGACCTTGACGAAAATATCTTTGAAGTATTTTCTGGCTGATTTTCTGCTATGAGGAAAAAAAAAAATATCAGGATATATAAAGGATCTTGCCAAAGGAAGTCCTATCTTCCTCAAAATATTTGCCTTCATTTCCAAAGAGAATCTCCTGACTAATAAAGTTTCAAAAACTTCTTAATGGAAGGAACTGATAACTTTCATCTCACAGCTACTGTGGGCACCAGAATAATATCATACTTTCTTTGAACTGACAGATTAATTGTTTTTTTGTTTCAGTAGCAGGTGCAGCTTTTCGTGAGTACATAATTGGATGTACATGTTTTTTCAAAAGAACACAGGCCCCTATCTGGTGCCAAGTTCTCTTTTTTTTTTTCATTTGGGAAAAAAGTCCCACATGATTTCATTTTTTAAGTACAATGTAGAAAACTCATGTAAGTGTTTTTAAAAAGCCAAATACAAACAAACAAATGTTCACAATACATACTTAAGTCTGTCTCACATGTTTCAGCTATTATCCTGGATTAGAAATTCCATCTGTCATTGAATCCATATGGTTTAACAAATGGCAGTTTAAAACCATGTATTTTTTGCAGATTTGAAGTTAGTTGTTTTTTGTTGTAAAAGTTTTAAGGTCCATACTAGTACTTTCGTGTGTTTGTTTCTATGTGTGCATGTGACCCTCTGTGCATGTGTAAGAATATGCAATACTGCAAAAAATTTTAGGAGGCAAGTGGACTTTACTGATTGAAAGACACTTACTGTACACAAAACGAATAACACCACCATTGAGTTGTGGAGTTTGGTTATTTCCCCGCCAAATACCAGAGCCCCATTTAGGCTTTCTATTATTTCTGCAGGGAGGATTAAAGTGAAATGAGGAGAGCTGCCTTTACTTCTCTGTGCCATCCCCTCAGTGTTCAGGGCAAACATGTGCTTTCATTAGGGAGTGTGAATTCCCTGGTCCACGTCCTCTTTCCTGTTTCATCTCTCTGGGTTATCCATTACCCAGGGACATCGCTGCTGTGGTTGTGACACAGCACACCTGTGCAGCCTCCTGCTCACTGACAATGACAGAAAGCTATTGCCAAGAATTTTATTTTAATAACTGAGAATGTGTAAAAATCGTAAGTGGAGCCATATACTTTGCTGTGCTGTTTAATGTGAGACATGGTAACTTAGAACAAAAAAGCTGGGAACAGTTTTCAGTCACTCTCATGGACTCAAGCCGTCTTTCCTACTTAGTCTAACAAGTCACTAGGCTTCTGGCCAGAAAAATGGAAAAATCTCTATTCAGTCTTACTGTAAAAGATTTCAGTATGGAGTTGTATTTGGTACCTGAGAGATTTACCTGAGAGGTTGGAAAAGGCATTTCCCTACTGATGTGCAATCACCATTACCCACTTGGGGTAATCATGGTAACACCCTCCTCTTTGTCCCCACCTGCAGTAAGCAGATAAGAAAAGTATAAATCCCAGCCCAACTCTGGCTGTATTTGGTGCCTTCTGTGCTACAGATGTCTGTTTTCCCACTGAAGTACAGTTTAGGGTAATATGGAGAAAGCAGAAGAATTTGCAGGCATGGATGAGACTCACTGGTATGAAGTTTTACTTGCTATCCAGCTTGTCTTTTTTTAATGTGTCTGAAGCAGCAGGTTTCTCAGCTAAAATGAATTTAGAGACATGGAATTTGTGTTAATCGTCAGCCGAGTCATGTGGCTCCATAAAAGTTGTTTTTGCACCAAAGTGGGTTTTGCTTTCCCTGCTTGCAGGGCAAAGCATCTGATGTCTGCAGTTGGGGTGGTAAAAATCAGGGGGTGTTTATTTAAGAGATATCACCTCAGATGAAGACACCAGCATTTTGAGAGCAAACCAAAAACAAAGCAGGGAGAGTTTAGAAATATCTCCATTTACATGCTTGCTTCAAATCCACACTTGTGTCTGGTTTAACCTAAACGCATGGCTCCTTGAACTTTTCCTCCACTTCTTCCCTCTTCCTCCCTCCCACTTCTTTCTTAATACCTCCTCCAACCTCACAGATATAGTTGCCAGTACACTGATCTAAACCCTTGGAAATACACATGGTCCCATTTCCCTTTCCACTTTTTAGAAGCTGATGCACCTAGTCCAGTCTGACTCTAGCCTTGTGAAAAAAAAAAATAAAAAAATTAAGGAGAATATATTTGTTTTCCACTGTCTTTCATTTTAAGGGTGGAGACTGATCTCTTATGTATGTGTCTAAGCCTAAAGAGTATGTACCAATATTTTGAAGAAGACTAATTTTTTGAATAGATTAATTTACTTCTTGATCCATAGAAGAAATCTTTGACAAAGGCAGATATTCCTACAGGGTCTGAAAAACTCCAGCTTGTCTGCGGAACAATGGAGGGTACATTTTAAGGATGTTCAGCATCTTAGTGTGTAGGATTCTTTGGTAATATTCAGACCTTGTGGTCATTGTTTAAGCTTTTCCAGGTAGGGCTTGGTGTATTAGTTTGTGTAGCTTAAGAACTTTTTAAAATTAAGCACATTTCTTTAATTTTTCAAATGTTCTTAACTTCTACCTGGTCCAGTTCCATGGGCAGGACTCGAGGTCTTTCAGAATATGTATGGTAAGAGCCACAGACAAAAAGGAGCTCCCTTAAGTGTCCTACAGTTATCTTTATGGAAAATTTTAGTCTATCCAAAGTAAAAGGCCTGCCAGATGTTCGAAATGTAATAAAATTCCTAACATCACATGACTGATGGTTTCATTGTTGTGAAGACGACAATGTCCAAAGAGACAAGTTGCCAAAAACGTTTTCTTGTCTCCGTTTGACGTTGGAAATGTACATGACAGATCCCATCCACAAAGGTTCCCCTCAGTGCAGTGAGAGGCCCAGACGAGAAGGTGCAGAAATCTTGACATACCAACTTCTGGTTGGTGAGCTGCTGGGACAAATTTAGGCATTTTTTAGAGCAGGAAATAGCACCAGTTGAACAAGTCCTTGTGCTTGAAGAGTTGACAAGGATAACTAGTACACAAGGAGAACTAGGCAGAGATCACTCTTACTCTGCAAAGGATTTTTGCCTATGGAGCTGACATGTAGTAAAACAATTTGCCATTGACTGTTCTTAGCATTGACTGATGGTTAGTGTTGACCTGATTGAATCACCTACTGCTACAGCCATTGAAGGCTCTCCACTACTTTTATCAAGTCATTGTTTCACAGGTTCTTCAAGGCACAGAGCCTCTGGCCAAGTGTGGTCCCACAGGGCCACGTTTCCAAAGGTGCTCTACATTTATGATGGGAGTCAAACCTTCTGAGGAGGTCAGTCTATTGTGCACTGAACTCTTGAAATTGTGCCCGCCATTGTCACAGTGGGAACAGCTTTCAAGCAGTCTTGGAAATCTGGTCCTTATTTAGGAACCAAAAAGAGAAAACCAAGCTCACAAAAATATGTCAGTGTATCTGGTTACTGAGAAATTGAAAATCTGTCCTCACTGTGTTTCAGGATTAACTCAGGATTAATAGGACATCAGTAAATTGAAAGTTAGGTGAAGCAAGGATAATAATAATATATCAGTATTTCAGCAATAGTTATTTGAACTGTAATCTCAAAGACCTCAAAGCCACCACATGAAAGGATCTAGACTGCTTTGGAGTAAAGATATGTTACCAAACCTTTATCGAGGGAAGAGAAGAAAAATTAGTCAGTCCTCATGCAGCATGATCTTAATGTTTGCATCATGTATTTAATTTAATCCTCATTTTTCCATCCTGCTTTCCTTGCATCACCAAGTGAGTAAGAATAAATTTAGCTCTTTTCTAGATTAAGCATTGTTTTATACCAGTGAGGTATTCATTGCCTACTTTTTATATTCATTGCATTTATGCAATTATGCTATGCATGTATTTCTTTAGCAGCTTAAGAAAAAAGCCATACAAAAAAAATCACATCCAGTTTTAAAGTCATAGTTACAACAGCACATGTATTTCATTTTCCCTTTGGATATTATTATATTATATGTATTAATGCCTATGTATTCAAAGCAATTATTATGGAATGTGCAGTTTTAAATTAAAAGGAAAAACAAAGTAGTTGACATGTGCTATTAAATTTTTAATTCTATGAATTAATGAGCAAACATAATTATGCAGACAATTAAGCAGACAATAAACTACTAATGTAATATGCAATGTTAATATACTGTAATTAACTATCTTAACTATTTTAGAAAAGAAAGAAAGCATGTTCCAGGTTGTCACTCATTTTTCATGGTAGGAAAGAATTTAGTGTCCAACTTTTTGCAGAGTGAGTTTTTTCATTCCTAGGATATTCTTAAAATTATTGCATATACTAATTTGATTCTTTATATTCTGATTACCTTTTAAAGTATTTTATTTTCCTTTTTCAGTCACTGAATGGTTTTGCCTTGGTGGTGAGTGCAGATGGAATGATATTCTATGCATCATCAACAATTGTGGATTATCTAGGGTTTCATCAGGTAAATATATTGAGAAATACTTACAATACTCAATCACTAACATTGTATTGACTTTCTTGTCTATAAATATAGACAATATATATATAGTCAATGTTATAACTTCTGCTATTATTTTTAAATGCAGCACTGTTGCTACCTTATCCACCTTCTCCTTCTACTGCTGATTAGACATGCACTTACTGAAATTAGGTTATTTTACTATGCCATCTCAGACTAATGGTTTTTCTGTAAATCCTACAGGTGAAGATTTATTTCTTGCAATTTCCTTTTATAAAGCTTTCGTTAGCAGAAACATGATCAGTTATGAAACTAAGATTTAGCTAGAAGTTTCTTTTCAATTTCAGTATAAGATGCTTTTGTAGGCTGATTGTCTGTGTGTAATAAATATACTCTAAAGTCACAGAATGACACAGTTCGAAAGGACCTCTGGAGGTCATCTAGTCCAACCTCCTCCTCAGAGCACATCAAACCTAGAGTAGGTTGATGCAGGACTGATCAAGCTTTGAGTTTCTATGACCGCTCTGGAAGATGTGTTCCAGTGTTTAGCCACCATGACTGTAATTTTTTTTCTGCTTATTTTTAAGTCCTAGGTTCCCATATTAAGGGTCTTGGTAGCACTCTCCTGGGCTCATTTTGATACGCTAATCTCTTTCTTTTCATGGGGTACCCAAAAATAAGAGAGAAATTTGCCTTTGCTGAATTTCCTGAGGTTCCTGTCAGCCTATTTTTATAGCCCATCAAGAAGCTGCCTTGCCCTCCCCAGCCAGTACCCTCTGCAAACCTGCTGAGCATGCATTCTCTCCCATGATTCCTCAGTCAAGAAATTAAAGACGGTTTGTCCCAGCATAAATCCCTGGGGGATGCCACTAGTCATCACTTTCCAGTTGGATTTCTATTACTCATATTTGCATATGTACAAAAGAGTTAAGAATAGAAAGAATCATATTAGGATGTGAGAGGGAAAAAGCAGATGTTGAGAAGTAGGGGCCTCTAAAACAACTTTCCTCAGCCAAACTGCTCTGAAGGTGTCCTACACCTGCCATAATTTTAAGCAAAGTATCAATCTAAAGATAAGTGGCTGCCCCCCTACAGTCAGTAATTAACCATTCCTTGTTGTAATTATTTCAGACTGATGTAATGCACCAAAACATATATGATTACATTCATGTGGATGACCGCCAGGATTTTTGTAGACAACTGCACTGGGCCATGAATCCTCCCCAGATGTTGTCTGGACAGCAACTACAGTCAGAAACAGGTGGGATTGTGTATGTTGATTGGAAACATAGGCACCACTGTACAGAGGTAGAATTGCACTCCACCTATGCCTGTGTCAGTACTATGTCAAGTCAATTCTTCACTGAAAAGAAGCATAGTGGCCATTTATTTATGTTGAGACATAAATAAAGAGATGATATTTCTTCCTGATCCTGGGCATTTATAAGTTAGGGTGTGCCACTGGTTCTGCAAAGTTGTTTCCTTTACTTTTCTCTGATGTGCATATATGAATTCTTACACACTCAGAATGAGCAGCATCAGTTCTTCATACTGCTAAACTTTTGTTGGCAACAGATCAGGACATCAGTGGTCCTCTCACTGATGCAAAAGGTTTCTGTACAGAACCACTGCGGCAGCATCACTCTCTGCCATTTGTTTTCCCATGCAAAATGATGTAGACAGGAGCCTTCTGAAGATCAAGTAGGTTTAGCAATGCATTTTTTCCTCTGGGGCTGTACTTCTTTAGGCTGGGAGTTGGATGCCTGCGCTCAAGGTTTCTCCTACACGAGGTATTAAGCTGAAATCACACCTTCAGAACTTACAATCAGATTGAGATTGTTAACCTTGTAAAGAATTACTGATTCCAGCAAAACGTATGCATTTCACCAGAAGGTGAGGTAGCAACCGAGGAAATAAATTAGGAAGTATAGTCACCGGATGAGCAGGGAGAAGCTTGCAAGAAATCCTTCAGCAACCTCTGCAAAGTCCTCAGGAACATAGTCATGAAACTTTGGTGGAATTTCTTGTATCTCCTGTAAAACATTTTCTGTGTTTTACAAGAGTCTTATAAATATATGAGGAGCTTTGCAAGATTTTGTAGGAAGTATGCAGGAAACAAGCAAAACAACGTGCACTAATATTTCAAACTATGAAATTCACAAATATTTGGATTTTTTGTCCTAAAGTATATTGTGGAGAATTTCAGGTCTTGAGTTCATAGTTTTGCAAAAATACTTGTGTCCTTTGGGAAATATTTCAAAAACTGTGCCCTTATACAAAAAAATCAAGGAGATAGAACAGCTGAACATTAGCTAAGCATCTACTGTCCATTTTTTTGTTCCGATTTTTTTTTCCCTAGGATTAGCATTTTTCCTTATTTTGTTCTCCTGTCTAATGCATTTTCTGTGACCTCTGATCTCAAACCCAGCAACATCTGTTACCCTGTTTTGCGTCATAAAAAATCACAAAAACTCAGGAAATAAAGTCCAAATTTCTGAAGAAACTCACTCAAATGCCATTGCAGAGCTTTTATTTTACTTTTAGTAGAGCATGTGCAGATGTATCCATACATGACACTGTTGAATATTCGCCCATCCATAAAGCAATTTTTAGCAATTTCCGTAACAGCTTTCTCAACTGGCTACAGAACATTTTCATTATTTCTTAGTGTGATCTGATATATGTTGCCTTCACTGTTGTTCCTAGGAGAAGAATATATTCTCAGTAAATTGTTCAAAGCACAAGAGAATGACAGCATGACAACAGATTATTCTTCCTTTCTAACTCGCTGTTTCATCTGTCGAGTTCGCTGCTTGTTGGACAGTACTTCTGGATTCCTTGTAAGTACAACTTTGCTTAGATGTAGGTGTGTAGGTGTGACACATATGAAAAATTCTTCAATGTAAGTATTGTGGAAATCCATGGACAGGATACACTTTTATTTTGTTGTGTATTAAAAAGAAACACAGAAAGATAATTACTAATATGTGTAAAGAGTGATGGGAGAAAAGAAGGTTGTAATATCTGAAACCGAAAGATTTAAAAAATGCTTATGTCTTAAGCTCTTTTCGACAATATCTGTCCTCAATTTGTACTGGGCTAAACACAAGGGTGATGAGTCTGAATTTCAACAATTAACATTTAAGCCCAAAGTATTTGCTTTAAGAAGAAGGAAAAATCAGGATATTTTTTTTTCTTTTGTAAAGAATCCTTTAATAATAAAACCCAGAATTGGAAAGTCTCTTGCATGCTCCATACTAGGAGTGGTTCATTTCTAGAAATCACTTCTTCTTCCTTTCCTTAGTAAAGACCAATGCTGTTTCTACTTAGGGGAAACTCCAGCACGTGCAAAGAAAATTAAATGATCAGCACAAGACTGGGAAATGCAAGATCTGTCTCAGATGCTCATTTGCTGGAAGGCTATGGGTCTTAACAGCCATCATTTCTGCATCCCTGCTTTAATCTTGTAGCTCTGGAAAATGCCTAACTCAAACGGGCTGATTTTACATTGGGCATCTTTTGGTAGTTAATTTTTTCACTGAGAGGCAGCAGCTTGCTGTTAACTCGATCCCTGCCTTCTGACTATGGAGATTTGAGGCAGGGACGGATGGCTCCTTCCAAGCTATGCACTCTGTATCCAGCTATCTTGGGCCCATCTTTTCCCTCAGCACTTGTCTTCACAGTCTTTGGGTTGTGTCAGTCGATATACTTTCCAGAGAAAGTGCAGAGTAAGAGAAAAGAAACTAAGAAACCATCTTGCTGGACAGAACAGAGCATGGAAAAAATGATGGTTCCAGCTTCAGTGGGGGTACAGAGGAAACAACTCTTTGCACCCCTGTGCACAGCCTGCTCTGGTGAACAGAAAGAGCTCCTACTTCTGTGTTACACAAGAGAGAAAAAAAAACTCAACCAGCCTCAAAAGTCTCATCTTACTGTTGATAGTACCTCCACCCACCCTGTCTCTGAAATGGCATGGTTCAAATTATATGAAGAAAATGAAATTCCTAGTTTTAATTTCTGATTCGAAACTGGGTTTGGTGTTAAATAACAGAGTCCATAGATTGTATTAGAATTTTAAATGTTTATACATTAAATGCTTAAGTTGTTGGTGTTTTGTTGTTTTTGTTTTTTGTTTTTTTTATACCAGACAATGCAGTTCCAAGGCAAACTAAAGTTCCTCTTTGGACAAAGAAAGAAGTCCTCATCAGGAACAGTATTGCCACCTCAGCTGTCCTTATTCTGCATAGTGGTACCACTTCTGCTCCCTTCTGTGACAGAGATGAAGATGAAAAGCCTGCTTGTGAAAGCAAAACACAAAGCTGATGATGCAGCAGCAGTGAACACAAAGTATTTACAAATTAGTCTTTTGGCATTTAGTGAAGATTATGAGCTATTAAGCATGTAAAAACCACAAATTATGCTAAATATCTCTGTTTTAAAACTCAGTCTTAGAAAAGTGACTAATTTATCTGGATTTAACTATTGAATACAAAATAAATATAATACAATTACTATAACATAATAGAATGCAAGATAATGCAATACATTGTCTGCAAAAGTGGAAGAGAAAAAGTGTTTTTACTGTGAGTTTTCTAATTACAGTATCTTCTGCTGAAACATTTATTTCCACTTTGGCATTTTGGTAGCCAGCAAAGGAAAAGGAAAACTTCAGAAAGCTCAGTATGTGTGTGTGTGTGTGTGTGAGGAAGGGCTGTTCACAAAGAGTCTAATGAGTTGTACTCGGTGTTCGCATTTATCTTTCAACAGCAGTTTTATGAACACGTAGGTTTACAATTGCACTAAATGGCTTGGGGGTGATCATTTGGTAGCAATCACAGAAGATCAGGACAGATTGTGTTCAGACTCATCTCCTTCCTAACACCTATTTTTATTACTCTTATATGGCAGAATTTGTTGATGTTTGGGGCTAGGATCATATTTTCCCTTATTTGCTTAAATATAACCTTACAGAAATGAATTCTATTGTGAAGGGAAATGCTCGTCAGTATGATTGACAGTATCATAATTTGTCTTTTAATTAGACTATGCTTGTGTATGGGTGTATTCACTATCCAGATGTATAATGTGGTTCTAGCACATGCATCCTTTTGAGAAGAACTAAACTGCTGGAAGTCCAATATAATGGACTATGCAGGCCTTTGGAAGAGAGTTGGAAACTCAGTTCTACTTGCTAGTTTTTCCAGTGGCCCAGGTGAAATTAACCAATGATCAGAATTGAACTCCTAATAGAGATGCTTTACTACCTGACTAGACATTGGCCAAGGACTTGTCCAGAATGAAGCAACCATTTATCTTCCGTGTTTCCTTTGGTTCAGGTCTGAAGTGTGGTAGCCAAGGATGGTGGGCAGACTTACATAGTCTTTTTTTTTTTTTTTGGATGGTCTTAATGCCGGGAAGCATATGTTACAGAAATTCATCCTTTTAAAGCTGTGATTCAAGCATTTTCAACTAAAGATTGGAAGAAATACATTCAAATCATATGTTGCTTATTGCAAATTGAAGTCATGCTAACTCTTAAATGCAGTGCTGGTCACCGTGACGTATGTACCTCGAACGTAGCTTGAATAGGGAGAGCAGAATATACACAGCATTTGTTTCAATTCCAGATGAAATTTCTTTTTCCAGATATAGTAAATCATGAGCACAAATATTCCTAAACATAGCTATTCCTCTTAATTGAATACAGAACTCCAGTCACATACTAGTTGGAGCAAGGAAATGATGCAGGGAAAAGATAATTATTTAGCGCTAGTTACATATTTAAACTGAACGCCTTTGCTAATGGTCACCAGCTTGAAGATCATATCTTTTAGAGTTTGTGATTCTAATGTGCTGTCATTCACTGACAGGGAGTTTTTCACATTTTCTGCCCTCTGCAGCTCCAGTTCAAAAGGCAGTTCAGCATTTTGTGAAGCAACAGAATTATATGGAAGAAACAATCACCATGAAGGTGCTGCCTTCAGTAACGCATTACAGATTGCTGAAAACCAAATCAAAGGTACTGCTAAGTACTTCTGGATTATATACAGTTTGTAATAAAAGAATCTTGTATTTTATTTTCTCCTGAGAGGTTATTTAGGTTTTGGCCCCAATGCTCTTTCTTCTTCTTCTCCTCCTTAACACCTCTTCTTTTGAAAAATACAAAAAAATTGTCCACCTCAAAAGATAATTCTGAATCAGTCTGTGATTTCAGAGTGGGCAGAAATTTTACAGAGAAACAAACAATCATGGTAAATAGTAAGCAGTAAATAAATGGTAGTAAAAGAATACTCAACATATGCTTGCCTAAAAGTGGCAGCACTGAATTTAATAAGTCTATGTGAAAATCTTAATAATTCATAACAATATCTATCTCTCTTTGAGGAAAACTGGATGATATGTTACAAATGTTAGTTTTCCCCAAAGATGAGAAAACAGAGGAAAATTAGAATGCATTGTCTTCAAAACTCATGATGTGCCCACAACTTTGACTCATGATTTTCCAATGTTTGGCTGTGGAAAAATTATGACAGTCTAGGTTCTATTTCAGATTTTACAATGGATACAATTTTGATGGTAAGTGTATCCCACTGGGCGACTTCTTCTTGAGTGGACTTGCACTCTCCTTCTGTCATATCTGCTGGAAATCTTTAATGTCTCTAAAATCATTCCTCTCTTATAGCTCAGTTTTTCATGAACAGTTTTTTTTTGGGTCTAGTACTACTACTATTGAGAGGAAAATATTAGAAGGAATGAGTAATACTGAAAAATCCTTGGTTGCAGTTTAAGTGCCTTACCAGGCCTCTCAAATTCTAGTTTTAAGATGTAATTCGCTTAATTTTGTGACATATTTTAGCTTTTACTTTCCTATGCTGATGCTTCTAGGGCAACAAAGAAATCTGTGAACATTCACAGTTCAAGTAACAAAAAATTATTACTGCTTGTATTAACATCTATTTTCTTTTAAATTATATAGCAAAGAATAATGGAGAAAATGGCATTTCTCTAGTCAAAGTACAAACAAATGAAGATCACTGGGTCTGGGTTCAAGCTAACACTCAACTTCTGTATCGAAGTGGTTGTTCAGAATATGTCCTTGCCCAACAGCAAATGTTAAAGTAAGTATATTTTCCAGTACCAAAAAGAAAAAAAAAATAGGAAAAAAAATAATGTATTCTTTTTTTATTAAATCTTTCAAAGGGCTGTAGTGATCTAAGAGAAGAGCTGAATGAGAAAAATTTAGTTTACTTATGATATGGTAATCTCTTTCTGTTTTGGAACATATGAAATGGCTGTTGCAGTCCTAAACAATATTTATTTTTTGTCTTCAGCCTTTTTGTCTTCTGAAGTTGAGTATACATATACACTAACACAGAATGAAAATACTTGATCATTAATATTTTACTTTCTTGCACAAAAAATATATATTTTGTGTTTTGTTTTACATTGCAGCTGAAAATCTAGTGCCCTAGTTTTTCTGCTTATCAGCATTTGACTATGTTAAGCCTTTTTTTTCCCCTTCATGTAAGTCAGTTGAGCTCATGTTTTTAGTTGTGCATGTGCAACAAAATCTAAAGAAGGGTACTCATATTCATTGTATGCTTCTAGATAGATACATCTAATTGCTTGTAGGCTCAGTCATGGTGTGTAAACTAATCTCACAGATTTGCATTCAGAGAGGACTTCTTGGATGAATTTTACCCTTTCGTCCCAAATGGGCTTTTCATCCCTCCCCCATGGGAGTGTTTGTTCCAGTTCCCGTGGGCCATGTTGAAGTATCTCTTCAAACTGGTCTGAGGGAAGAGAGTTGACTCAGTGAGCAAAGGCCAGGAGTTTTACATAGCCACCATCTGGCCCAGTGTTAAAAATGTGGCTGTTATCCCAGATTTTTTCCTTTAGAATGCCTTGCAGGTGGAAGATATAACTGAAATAGTCTTTGCACCTCTAGAGTAGATATTCCTTGCAGGCTGTGTATCACCCAAGATCCACATGAATAGCAGGGGAGCTCCCACCTGAGGATGCTGGAACTTTTTACCTTTACTGGGATGGCACAGACATCATCTTGTTTCAAGGAATGAATTTCTATTAAGAAGCAAGTTAAAAGGGGCTTTTTCTTTCATTAGTTTCTCTGCTTCCAAATTGCTTTTGTGCAATTAAGCATGTTTATTTGGTTACATTTTTGCTTTCTGAGTGATTATTGTTGTTGTTGTTGTTGTTAAAATGTATTCTGTCTTCCAGGAAACATAGATTCTTTTGCAGAATTTCCACTGGATACTATTTCACTGTAAAATTCTTCATTTGCAGGTTTAACTTGTTTTGGCTATTGCTTTTTGTCCAGTCCTGTGCTTCTCAATTTGACCATTTTCTAAGAAGCATGTTCTGCAGCAAGCTTGTATCAGACCATTTACATCTTAATACTGTTAATAATAAGAATATTTAGCAATGGACTAAAAATATTTAATGCCTTGTAAAGAAAAAAAAAGAGAGAAAATATTCTTCTCTCATGGTGTACATTTTTAGTGTGATGTTCTCTCTTTGTAACAACATGGACTCCCTCTACTGGAAAATCCTTTCCTTGCACATTGATTCAATACCCAAGGAAAAAGTTCTATTGTGAACTAAGAAAAAGTTCTTCTAAACCCCTTATTAGCTCTTCAGCTTCTCATATGCAGTTCCCTATTGAGGTGTCTGCTTCTTGTTTGGAGAAGGATGAGGTGGTTTCATAGCCCTTTGACCCTGCAGAGTTGGGAATCAGCACATTAGTGGATTCAAGACCTAAATCTCTGGATTTGGACCCCAGTTCTGAGAACATCTGCTTTGGGCATGGAAGTGCTCAGGCAACACTCTCTGCCAGTGTTCTTCTTTAATGTTGAGTTAAAGCTGGAGGTAATGGAAAATTAATTCACTGGCCATCTTAGAAAACAAAAGGCAACATAAATTAAGTTAGACATATAGAACAAACCTACACCAAATATGAACATCTGTGACTATTTGGTTATTTAATTTGGGCATTTTATTTCCTCTCAGCTGTGTTCTTGAAATATAAGACCCCCACAGTTCTCCCTCAAGTCATTCTGATCAGAAAGCTCTTATGTGTCCAAATAACTCCTTGCTAACAAAATATATCTCATTTAAGATATTACTTGTATTTTATCTCTAGAATTTTCTACACACAAAGATTATTTAGAAACATTTTAAGGGAAGAACAAAAGTGTAAGGGAATTACTGTATTGTATTACAATATTTAGGTTTTTATTGAACTGTGTACCTGAAATAGAAGAGCAATGCATGACAGAATTCAAATAAAGCAATGCCTCAGCAAGTTAGCTGTGCACACACATTGACACCCAAACGCAGGGACACTCTTTTGCTCTCTCAAATGCAAAGATTATGTGCATAAGAGTGCAAGAGTCCCATATTGAGGACAATTTATGACTTGTAATGCATGTTGAGCCACTCTGTATCCCAGAAAACAAGGATTTAGAAACCTCTGATTGACTGACTTCTTTTTTCTGCTGTTCTTGAAAGGGAAGAAGATGAACAGCTGAAGATACTAAATGGTTTTGCCAGTTTGAAAGGAAATCTGGAGGGGCTTTCCTATAACAGTGCCATTGAAACTCTGGGCCAGTGGAAGCATCTTAACTGGGCAGCAGTGAAGAATGAACAAGATAATGTAAAAGTGAAGTTTGAGCCTCATACTAATGGTGAGTGTTTCATGCAAGAGGAACCTCTCAGTTCCAACACATCAGTTTTAGGCATTCAAAACAACTGCACCACAAACAGTAGCTGGACTTTAAGAAACTCAAGTTCTTGTTCTATGAGCCAGAGACTGAACACGTGCCCAAACAGGAGAGCTGGATCATTCTACAACAGAGACCAAAATTTCTTAAATTTGGCATCAACTTGTCCTTCCCACTGGGGGAGTGCAGAAAATGGCCAGTCTTACTCGGGGCTCCAACAGCGCTGTACAGAGAACTATGCAACAGACCATCTGAAGCTGCAGAGACCATTAATATCCTCAGAGTCTCTCTATGACACAGCCATTCCCTTGGAGATGCCTATCAAAACAGAATATGACTCTGATTCTGAAAACATTGCCGATAACTACCTGCTTTCGCAGAGCCGATCCTGGCTGGATGAGAGCGGCTCGGTGAGAAAGCAGGTCTCCAGCTATCCCAACAGAATGCACCTCAAAACAGAACCGGACCTCTGCGAGCCAGCCTTGCCCTGCCAGAAGTCAAGGCACTGCCTTTATACACCCCATAATTGGCAATGCATCATAGCAAACCATCCCAACAACCTGAACTTGAACAGAGCTTGCAAGGGTTCACGGAACAAGGAGGTGGCCCCATTTTGCCCTCAGAACTCCTCCGTGTGTTTGGAAAACATGCCTGACCTGCCACACACAGCTTGCTACAGCCACTTCTACAGCCCCAGCCCAGGGGAGGAGAAAGAGCAGGTTAATGAGGGGTTCAAAATGCCATGTGAATTTAAAAATCCCTGCTTGGTTCAAGCAATCAAACGTGAGCCCCTTGATTCTCCACCATTGTCCAACAGTGGACAGAACACAGTACATGCGAGCTTCCCTGAAAATACATTAGCAGGTCCTGTGCCTCGTAAAACCACTGAATGTACATTTTTGCAATAGATTTTATAACTTTTGAAATATTTATAATTTTAAAAGCAAGAAGTTGTAGATTCTCTTCCAGCTGAGTTAAATGACTTGCTAAAATCAAAAGCCAGTGTAAAGATTTTGAGTGTGTGTGTGTGTGTGTGTGTGTGCGCGCGCGCACCTGTGTGTGAAAAGAAACAAGACACAGGTACACACATCCTATCCCCCGCTACTGCCCTTCTCTTAGTGATCTTTGGAAAGAAGAAAGAAATATAAAACCTCAGGCACAGAAAAATAATCATTACTTGCTGCACAGGTATACCTGATAATTTTTCTTTATCACCTTTCCTCTCTTCTGCAGTTCATTAGCAAGGTCTAGCAATTTCTGTTTCCTTTGTTCTGTTTGTTTTTCTCAAGTTGATGTGATGCCTCTGTGCAAATCAAAAATGTTTATGGTCTTCAGTGTGGCCAGTTTACCACAGGAGTTTTTGCTTTATAATTTTTTTTCTGCTCTTATAAGAAGGATCAGCTATTCCTTCATCCCAGCATTAAATTAATGGCTGTAGGAAAGAGCTTCCCAACACAACTTCTTAATTTAAAAGGACCACATTAGTAAAAACAACGACTTGCATAAATACATTAGAAATTATTTCACTTCAAACTGAAGTTACTCCTAATTTTCTTGATAATATTATTGGTTTAGAATCCATATTTTTCCTTTTCATTGCCATCAGCCTTTCACATTGCTGCTGAAAGACTGAACAATGGGATGTAATCTACTTCTATAAATGAGTTACATAATGCTGTTAAGTATATGTGAGAACAAAGTATTTCTCTGATTATTTTCTTTCCTGTTACTTGTAATATCAACAAAGGAAATGCACTTTTTTACTTGATAGTATTTCTTTGACTGATAGCAGCTTGTTAGATATTGTCACCTTACATCAAAACCAAATCCCACACTAAGATTATTTTCAAAAACATCCTAGTTTCGATCCCAAAATAAACTCTTAATCTCACTGAGAGGTGGATGTATACCTTTCAAAAGCACTTCAGTGCACTTTAGTGCTTTTGAAAACAGAGTATATACTTTTCTCTAAACCCAGACAGTTATGTGTTTCCATAACAAAAAAAAAAAAAATAAAGTTATATTTTGGGTTTTGTTATTGTTGTAGTTTGACTTCTGCACTAACTTTTGTTTTAAAATTGCACTATTTCAACTTTATATCAACTTCACCTATATAACAACCACATCATTTAAAAACAAAGCTTAGATGTATGTAGATGTGCTTTTTGAAAGAAGCCCTGTAATGAATGTTTTCTTTTTCAAAATGTTATAAATAATTATAATGTATTCCTTTATCTATTAGTCACAAAGGGCATGGCTTTTGATGCCAGATGAGTGGCATAAAATTCTCCCAAATGCGTTAAATATGTGGGATAAGTGAAGTTTTCAGGTATTGCAATGGTTCTGCACCTGGGAGGCTGCTCTTCTCCAAGAAGATGGACCATCTTTTCTGACAGAATTTACTGCCTGTATTTTAGAGTTGGCAGGTGTAAAGATGCACATTCTCTGCATGCCAGTTAAGTGCTTATGAAGTGTGGTATGAAATGCTGCACACTGGACAGTAAAGAGGAGCAACAACATCTTACTGTATCTCAGGTTAAATCTCTCATTATCCAGTTGACCATATCCAAGCCATGAGAATGTTTCATTTTCTGTGTCTGAGGTAAATCAGCTCCCTGTTGGCCATGTGCTGCCTCTTATTTGAGACAATCTTGATATCCTTACTTTAATACTCCTGCCAGTGGTTGCAATGCAATATCAGAACCCGTTCTGAAGTGAGACCGCAGTGTGGAATTCACACTGCTCTCCAGTACACCGCTGTCCACATCATATAAATTCAAGCCAAGCTGCAAAAATACTTGTGGGCAAGCAAACTTGTTCCTTGTGCAGAGTAAGGCTGCCATAAATCAGTGTTGCTGCACAACCTCTGCCTCATTGCTTCCCTATCTACATAATTACAAGCAGCAGTTCTTTAGACTCTCCCAGAGTTGCTGTCATAGTCCTTTGCTCAGCACATAGCAGTGGCTCTGCTTATGTGCTGGTGCCAGACACTCTGCCATGTGTCTCAGAGCTGCTGTTGGGTTGTGCTATGAATCCTGTAATATTCTCCAGTCCAGCTCCTTGTGCAGCTGCCCGGCAGAAATGAGGTGATGGGGAGACAGGGTAGTGTGGGCACCAATGGCTGGGGGCAAGTGGAGGACACGTCTGCATGACCTCTGAAAAGCTGCTTAATTCCACACTTGGAATCACTGCCACACCCCTCTGAATGAGAGTACCTGGGCTCTGTTTTACACTGCCTTGCACTTCGTCACATCATTTGAATTGATGAAATGTGACTGTAAAACACTGTCATCTTCATCTGGACATGCTGGTGCCATTTTGTACAAAGGGAGTGGTCGCACCATGCGCAACTGTGTAGAGGACTATGCCACCAAAAGCCTTGTTTGTGCTTAGAAATATCACCTGCTGTGACTTACAGTGGGAGAACTATACCAGCCAGGTTTCTCTCTTCAGTGCAGAAGCAATTTATACTAACAAAAGGAATTCTCTAAAGTTCTCCCTGTTACAAAATCCATTATTTTTTGTTGACGTAGCTCTATCTGCTCTCAGGCTTTCCTGGCACATATCAGTTAGAATTATTTTTCTCATGTTTCCAACAAACCCAGACATATTTTACACATCTGGATCAATATTATAGAGATAGGTGAAGCTTCTGCATGTAAGGGAATGTAATCTAAGATGTGAGATGTAATGGGCTTCTAGGTGGATGGTTGAATGTGTGACTCAAAAGTGAGATGTCACCTTCTGACTCCCTGCTGTGTAAATGCAGTCAAGTTTGTTTCCTTACTATTCCATAAAGTCTGAAGCCAAGAGAAACACACTTATCCTGCACATCACATTTGATTTTGGCCCACTTAATTCGTGGCTGAATCCTTATTTCAGTCTCACATGAAAACATGTGGTATCAGTAGAATTTCTCCTAGTCTAAATTATCACACATGCAGTAGAGCAATCTCTCAAGAACAGGGCTTACGAAGAGATCAGCAGTTTATCCTCTTTTTGGACAATTGCTAACCATTGTTGGAAGCAAACAAAGACCACTACCTTCTAAGTACTTGGAAAGAACAGAGGAAATAAATGCTTAAAATAATCCCTTGCCATTTGCGTTATAAAGCACGGATCTGCCTTCATCCTCTCCCCATGATATGTGCCCTGGATTGAGCTGGGACTGAAATCTGACAATGCATTGTACCCTGCTAAATTACCACTGATTTAATCTTATAAAACTTTTTTTGTGTGCAGACATTAATGACCCCCTGGCACTGACCAGTAAATAGGATGGAAGACAGAGCAGTTCTTTCAAATGGTTACATTTTCTTAGTGGTTGTTGCTGCTTTGGTATTATCCTAAAAGCTAGCACTGAGAAGTAGGGTTTAAGATATTTTCAATTGCTGGTGTTTGTTTAGCTTTTAGCCTTAATGAACTGGTATTTGTATCCCTTCAGCACAACCCTAAAATCTATTTTAGAAGCCTCACAATGCATTTATTGTAGCAACAATAAAAAATTATTCTTGTAGAAGAAATGCCTAGTCAAATGGTTGCCTAATAGGAACTTGGAGCATTCAGGCTGAAAGAAATGCCTGACTGATAATAGCATTCGAACTTCCTCAGCCATAAACTCTCCAGAGGTTGAGACATGGAGAATGGACTCATGAATTCCCTGATCTTTGATGAGGGTATATTTTGGTATGGAAGATGAGCAGCTCTAAAAGCTGTGAAAAGGTGCCTCCCCCTGGGATGTCACTTGATCCACAGAGAGCAGAGACTATTATCAGAGCTAAAGCCGCTGATCAAGGTCTTTACTGAGAATGTGACCTGATTTCAGCTGCCAGTGGACAGCTGTTGAACACCATACAAATGCTAGTCCAACACTGTTGAAAGCTACTACTTTTACTGAGGAACAACATGATTTGAGCTAGGAGTAAGCTCAAACAGCAAAAAGAGTGGATTTTCCTGTACTTATGTAGTGACTGAAACTGGGGCAGACCTCCACTGTAGGTAACGTTATAAATAATTTGCATTGACTTTAAAGTCTTTGGATAACAAAGACTTCCTCTTTCAGAATTTTCTTTCAAAAATTCTGAGTGAGGGCAGCACTATGTGAGTGATAAGCTTGTTTCAGTTGTCCTCAGTTCAGAGATTTAACAAGGGAAATGAAAGATTAAGGGACTGTACCTAAATTCACTGTAGGAAAGACTAATTTTCTACTCTTTGATTGTAACATGGTAATGCAAAGACTGTGGTTTACCCTCCCTTCATTGGAACAGTCATGTATTCTTAAAGTTCTTACATCTGAATCTGCTCTGGATGGTATAGGGAAGTCTGACATTTGAGCATCAGTCAGTTCTGTAAGACTTTAGGTGCTTATCCTCTGATCATTTGAGATCGACGGGGCATGTGCAATTCTTTCCGGAAATTCCTAGTACTTAAAATACTTAAGAGGCAACAAGCCTGAGGCAAGGAATATTATGTGGGATAAGACCAGCTTCTGCTGCCTAGAAGCTTTTCTTAACTCATGTTGAAGCCATACTGGAACTTAAATAGGACAGCCTCACTCATTGTAGTTATTTCAGGAAACCCATTATATTGTCTTAAAAAGATGTTACATTTTAATTAAATTTAATAGTTAAAAGGCATCATTCCCCCTACCCATGTACATATATTGCCTTAGGTAGTGGTAAAAAGATTAACGTATTTCATTTAAGTGTCACTTAACCAAGAAAACCAACCTCAGAGTATCAGGGCTATAGATGTGTTCTATTTTTCTTGTCTTCTGTATCTGCTATTATCTTCTCTGTTTCTCTACTCCCTTAGGGTGTAAACATTGAAAACTGAAATACTTTTCTAATCATACTGAGACAAAAATCCTAAACCTAAACTAGACTGTAGAAAGTTTCTCACTAGAACAGGAGTTTCTTTCCTTGGAGTTTCTTCTTTTAGGTCTTGCCAGGTCCTGTGAGAAATTGTGTCACAACTGAAACAGGTGTCTGTAACATGTAGAGAGCAAGAGATTGTGCAGGTGGCCATGCTCGGGATGTAATCACAAGGCTTTTATCCAGCTGAAGGAGATTCATACAAGAAGGCTGCACTGGGTAGCTTATACTCTACATTTCATAGGCACTACAATCCTGACAAACAGATCTTTGTCATGGTTCAGTGACATCTGGCATGTTCTTGTCACTGTGATTACACTTCCCTACCATGCTATCAGAAATGCCTCTGAACAAAGTCATCAGTGACAGGCTGAAATATATTCTGAACACACATAGTACTTTTAAAAAAAAACAACCCAAATGTCTGGAGATGCTTGTGCCTAGGCAAAGATGTCCTTTGAGTGGAACTTGGGAAGTAAAGTAAAAAAAAATAAAAATTGTTAAGGCAAATTTTGGGGCGAGAAAAGATATATTGCCATCAAAGTGTATTCTATGATATGATAGTCATATTCTGTGACTACAGCATTAATTCTTCATCCCCTGTTAAAAATTCTGTGACCTGAAATCACTTTTTTTTTTTTTTTTTTTTTTTTTTTTGTAGAAATGGTTTTGTAACTTCTGGGTTAAAAATAATTTACTGAAAACAAGGATTGAGTCATTCCAATGCTAAGATACATTTCTCAATCAGACTGAAAACATCATTCTAGGAGGCATGAAGTGCTCCTGTTCCTTTCCTGGGGCTAGTTTTCCAAACTCTGGCAAATTTGGTATGTGCATTAACTCTCCTGCTGCTGGTAATTGCTCTAACTATGCAGTCCAAAGTTTTTCAAGATTTCCTTGATGCAACAGGGCTCCGGGGACAGCTCCAGTTTCATATTTGTATTGGTAGAATTATGGTAAATAAAGATGTGGCAGGAGGCAATAGAAAGAACATCAGCTGCTTGGCTGGTATTATTAATTGTATTTCAGCAATTAAAAGGCTATGTAAAAAAAAAAAATCAGGTGAAGTTCTGGCCTAGACCATCTAATTTTGCACCACAGGAGGGTGTGAGATCTCCCTTCTGAACCTCTTTTTTTCCCCTCCTTTTTTTTTTTTTAAAGGTTTTGGACGATGTATATTTTCCCTGTGCTAATTTAAAATATGAAATAAGGAGAGGCAAGCATCAAATATTGTATTTTTTTTTGTCTTTCTAAAAAGAGCTTAAAAAAGGCAAAAGTTATCTCAGTTCTCAATAATAGTATTCAGTTTTGTTTCTATTCTCACCATAGCTAAGAAGATTCTTCCTCTTCATGGTCAACAAACTTCCCTCTTCTGAAAGGGTTCTTCCTCACACCCTCTCCTCCTTGAGCTTAACAAAACCAAAGAACACTTTCTTCCTTAAAGGCAATTCCCTTTTCCTTCTCTAGCTTTTCCACCTTTTTGATTGCATAGGATTGTACATTTTGGTCTCCATCCTTTCTGTTTTCTCTGTCTGTAGCTTTATTTCCACTTTAGGCATACTTCAAAAGTTTTGACAAAAGAACAGTGTTAGGCAGAAGTGCAATCCCTCACATCCTCCCTCCTCTTTAATATGATGGAGGTACTCACTAATAGCAGCTGTACCCCTAAACCAGAAAAAAGGTCTGCTGGTGAAACATCCTCTTTTCAGGAGTCTGTACTGCCAAGAAACTCCCAGCTAAGTGCTGCAAAGTGTGTATACAATGCCGAATCCTTTTTTCTTTAGACAAAAATCCTTTTTCTTTAGATCTTTCTTTAGGTGTCTCTTTCAAAAAAATCAAGGAACTAATTTTCTCCTTTTTGCTTTCATTTTTTTTTGACATGGGTTTATTCTTTCACTGTGAAATTGCAATTTAATTTGCAATTTTATTTTTTTTTGATTAAGAAGGGTATGGAAGCATTACATGGCATGTACAGTGCAGTGTTTTCAATTAGTCCATTTCAGATTTTGAGATTAGAACCACAAATAATGATCAAGCATTTTAATGTGACTCCATGTAAAAGACTGACTGTTACAGAAATGTCCAGGTACCAATAATACCATCACCAAAGGCGTATCATCTGCCACCACACTCCACTTACAATCCTGCATTAAAAGTGCCATTTCTGCTTCTCCTGAAGAAACACAGTGGAGGACAAGACTAGCTCTTAGCAATCTGTTCTAGTGGAAGGTGTCCCTGCCCATGGCAGGGGGATTGGAACTGGATAACCTTTAAGATCCCTTCCAACCCAAACCATTCTATGGTTCTATGATAAACAAATAGGCGCACGGAGTTCTACCAACAGTTTTGGTAGAACTGGTATCTGGTAGTGTGTATTTGGTAGTATCTGGCACTCCATGATTCCCCAAAACTTTTTTTTGGGGAGGGTGTATTTCTACCGCTGTTTGAAAATGTTCTACATGATGCAGGTAATGCCTGCACTGGGGCATGTGACTGAGGCACGAAAGCTGCCCATCTGGTGAGATGAAACAACAGACAGGTGCAGCTCCAGCCCCAGGGAAAGCAACCCAGGGAATCCTGTGGGATCACCTTTGGTAATGTGTAACCCAACCAGCAGCACTGGCTGTGCTGCTGCGTGCATAGCAGTATCATAGGTGTCACGGTATATCACTAATATACCTGTAAAAGATATTGTGGCTGAATCAAACCAGGCAGTGATCTGTGGATTTGATGTTGTTTAAAACCGGCACATTTTTCTGTTGTGTTTTGTACTGTCTCCTCAGCCTGCTTTTAGAAGGAACTTTCAAGCATACTTCTTAAATTATATTTTACATTTATTACCAGGCAGAAGCATAAAGCTGAGACATTTTCAAATAAAACGTTTGCATTTAAATTAAAGCTGCTGCTGCTGCTGCTGCGTGTGTTCTTGCCCTTTCCCCGTACTGGGCCCAGCACCCCCTGGCCTCAACTGGGAGGGAGCTGAGATACAACCTCAACCAGTATCCCCTCTGGACATGTTCCAGCATCTGTCCTCCCTGTCCCCTTCCCCATATTTGCTCTGGATTGGTCCCAGTACCCATCCCCAGCCTGAGCTGCTCCCAGTATCCATCCTAAACAGGTCCAGGCACCCACCCTGGTCTGAACTGGTTACAGTATCCTCTCTTGGCCTCAACTGTTCCCAGCATGCTCTCCTTGACCTCCTCCCGGGGTTCCTCCTGACCCGGCCACTATCCATCCTGGCCCGCTCCCGGGCTCTTCCCTCGGCCCGGGGGAACCAGGCCGGGCCCGGGGGCGTGGACTCAGCCAATGGGCGTGGCCTGCTGCCGGAAGAGCGGAGCGATTCTGGCTTCCCATTGGCCGAAGCGAGCGGCTGTCCGCCAATGGCCGCCGCCTTGGGGGCGCGGCTGTGGCAGCGCCGGAAGTGACGAATGCTGTGGGGGGGCGAGGTGGGCGCGAGCTCCCGGATGGTCTGCGGCTGCGCCGGCGGTGGAAGATGTGGATTGAGCCATAGAATAAAACAATAGCGCTTAAATAGCAAAATAATAACCCGGCTCGTCCGCCTGAGGCGTGGCCCCCGCTCCCCCCTGGTCTCTGTAAAGCACCGTGTGAGCAAGAGTTGGTTTTATTTTTGTTTTTATTTTTCAATTTTTCTTTCCCGGCCGTGCAGGATGAACGTCGCGCCTGAGGAAGTTAAGGCAGAAAATGGCAAAGCGGAGCCTGGGGAAAAACATTTTTACTGCGAAGTGAGTGTGTGTCTTCGGTGGGTTTTCAGGCGGGGCAGGCAGCGGAAGGCGTGCGGGGACTGGGGAGCTGAGCCAGGCGTGCCGGGCAGAGCTGGGAGCGAGGGGGGCTGTGATGTGGGGAGTGATGTCCCTGGAAGAGCTGCTGCTCTCCGGATTCGGTGAATTCAGGTTGTTCTCGAGCAGTCACGGGTGCGGTGAATGGTTCTTGATTGCAGCCTTTCCAGTCTCTGCTGAGTATTTCTGATCGGCGGTCGCAAAGGCTCATTTATCTTTAAAAGCTGCAACTCTGTGTCAGAAGGCGTTAAATTTGCCATTCCTGTAGTGGTTTTGTAGCACTGAATGTTTTTCTGGCTTATTCAAGTTCCTGCTACAGCGTATCTTGTTATATATATATATATATAATAAGACATATATATGCCTTATATATATATATATTAATATTTGTACGTCTGTATTGGCTTCTGTTAATTATTGCAATGGTATCTGCGTGTCTGTGGATCTTGATGAGAAGACACCAATGGAGGTGTCTTCTTCCATTGTTTTTCTGATCCCTTTAACGCAGGTTTGAATGAACAATGAACGGAGTTGCAGATATTTTAGAGCGTAATTTTGCCTCGGTTCCTTTCTAGTCACTGCACGATCGTCCCTTTCTGCTGACTTTCCAGCTTGGAGAACTTGAGAAAACTAAGAATTCAGAAAGTGCTGGTAGCACAGAAGGGGGAGGCTCTTAAAAACTTCTTACCACCTGATTTATTTAAACATGTGTTTAAGTATTGTTTGAACAGGTCTGCATACTATTTCTGGACATTTTAGTGGTAAGCTGTTCTCCTAAAAGTCATGCAAACTGTACTGTTTGAGCCAAAGAGGACCTTGAGAATTACACGATTACACTGTAGGAACAGATGTTTTTCACATTTATGATTCACCAGCGGCAGAATATTTGTAGCATAACTGAAGATGTGCCTTCAATTTTTCTCTTTCAGGTTTGTAAAATTTCCTGTATGTGTGCTATAAGTCTTCAGTCACACTATCGTGGTTCAAAGCACAGAAAGGTAAACTTTTTCCATATTAAATGTATATGCAGATTTAATCATAAATCCGGGACTCTTGCAAATTCACTACTTGATTTCACACGGCTTCAAGTGCTTATCTGACTTATTGGTAGATTTGTAACAATAATTTGCTTGAAATATCCCAAGAAAAAGATGAGGTGAGAATCTCACAACTCTGCTTTGTGCACCATGTAACTTGAAACATCAGCTGTACCTAAAAGTAAATGTGTGCTAACTGTGAAATTAACATTTGAATTACACAGGGGCCACAGGTGGTGAAAGAATTCAGCTTTCTGTTTTTGGACACAGTTGGTAAAAGTACTGTTCTGTCTTCCAGGTCTACATAACTCACCTGTACTTTGAATAAAATGAGCTTTACTTCGATAGTAACTCCAGTTCTGATTTCCCGAAGGAGTCACGTAGACTTAACTATCAAGACTGACACTTGATAGTTCAGTTTGAAGCATCTTAATAACAGCTCCCTGTTTTAAGCACAAAACAAGCAAAGGCATTAAATAATTAGGCACTGTTCCGTGAGGGTATATTTAGAGATGAGGCTTTTACAAATGCTGTGTGACTGATCCTTTGGCTGTTGCTTGGCTGATGATTGTTTAAAATTCCACCACATCCTCAGTCTGTAAAGGTGAGACATAACTCAGTTGTCTGTACTCCTTTGGTGCCATCAGATTGTATTGTTGTGGCACTGAAGAGCCTGCTCTGATGTTTTCTTAATGACATTTTATTCTTCCTGGAACATTAGAGATAATAACAAACTGCCTTTCTCAAGTGTTGGTGTGCCCTCTTTTTTTTTTTTTTTTTGAAAATGAGGGGCATCTCCCCACCTCTTTGCTACTGAGACATTAATAGTATT